GGGTGCGATACGGGGCTGACGGGTGGGGGCCAGTGATAATGTGTACGTGTAACAGGGTGCGATACGGGGCTGACGGGTGGGGGCCAGTGATAATGTGTACGTGTAACAGGGTGCGATACGGGGCTGACGGGTGGGGGCCAGTGATAATGTGTATGTGCACCTTGTAACACCTAGAAAAGAGTATGATTCTGAGAAAAGGGTTTTGTCTTTGAAGCGGTTTGATAACACGTTTGTCAGTCATTCCTACATACTTGTGAACATGGACGTCAGTGATTGCTGTGATTGATAGACTCATATCAATCTCTCTGTGGTGACTGGTTAACAGATGACAGTTTCTCTTCGGTGATTGGTTAACAGATGGCAGTCTATCTTCGGTGATTGGTTAACAGATAGCAGTCTCTCTGCGGTGATTGCTTAACAGATGGCAGTCTCTCTGCGGTGATTGTTTAAAAGATGGCAGTCTCACTGCAGTGGTTGGTACGCTCGCACTGCATTGCCCAGTGCTGAACTCCCAGCACTCTCAGTCAATTGGCCTTGTAAAAATCCCTATTAGCAATATGTGCCCTATCCTATGTATGAGACATAATCAAGGAAAAGTAAAATATATGGGTTAGATGGAGAAATATTCTGCTTTGGATTCTTAATTACAGTGGCTCAACAAGAACAAAGAGCAATTATGGAATTAAGGGAACTCTGCATCCTGTCATTAATGCTTCGTAAAGTGTAAAGACTGCATCCTTTGTAAGAATTTACCCAGAATCCCTCTCCTGATGTTAATAAGGGCTTTTTTGCCCTGACCTCCCCGTGTTTGGAAACCATAGTTACACAGCGATGCCCCCACCCTCCTGCTTACCCTCCAGGGGGTGTGCAGCTGTTGGACAGCTATTCATATCCGTAGGTCCATGATCATCTGTCTGTCTGCCAGTTTGGAGCCATGTCTCTTCTGTCACACTCTGTCCCTTTCCCTGTGTCCATCTCTCTGTCCCTTTCCCTGTGTCCATCTCTCAGTCCCTTTCCCTGTGTCCATCTCTCTGTCCCTTTCCCTGTGTCCGTCTCTCAGTCCCTGTTCGTGTCCCACAGACAGACACACAGGCATGCATTCTTGTTTATTTGTGCCTGGAAACATGGAATGAACACGTCCCAGATCCTGCAAATGTCAGTTCCCCCCCCCCCCCATAAGACCACTTTCTGACCTTCACTGGCTGCTGGGGATGTTGGCTCACAGGAGCTTGACCTTTCAGAAAGAGCACTTACCTTCAGGGCAGAAATACCCATGATGCTTTGGTGCCAGTCAGCCCTGGAGCCCTTACAGTCCTGGTCCTGGGAGCTCGGCTCCCTACACCAGCGATGTGACATCAGCGGTCAGAGAGGCGAACTTTGGGCTCATCAGAGCAGCTAACAATGGAGGCTTTGATATGATCAGCAGAGCGCTTTTGAAGACAACTTCTTAGAGAGTGTGACCGTGAGTCAGTGCTGGGGGGGGGGGGGGGGCAGCACTGTGTCAGCAGAGCCCCGAACGTGAGGCTGGTGTCTGTTACACCAGGGGATGACGCTCTTACCCCCCTCCCCCAACAGGCGAGCCGGCCGTGACCAAGGAGAACAACTGCCTGAATGCAGCCAAGGCTTGCAACCTGAACGACACCTGCAAGAAGTACCGCTCGGCCTACATCAGCCCCTGCACCACCCGCGTCTCCACCGCCGAGGTGTGCAACCGGCGCAAGTGCCACAAGGCCCTGCGCCAGTTCTTCGACAAGGTGCCGCCCAAGTACAGCTACAGCATGCTGTTCTGCCCGTGCCCGAGTGCGCCCCAGTCGGCCTGCCTTGAACGACGCCGCCAGACCATCGTGCCCGTGTGCTCCTACGAGGACCGCGAGAAGCCCAACTGCCTGTCACTGCAGGAAAGCTGCAAGAGCAACTACATCTGCAGGTAGGCACTGGCGGAGGACAGTGTGCCATTCATGCTGGGAACTGCAGCCTTACTAATACACATATACAGTATACAGTTAGTGCAATACTTGCAGGGCAGACTATTATACATGACAAGTTAGTACAGGTAGGACAGTATCAGTGTGTATGTACAGGTAGGACAGTATCAGTGTGTATGTACAGGTAGGACAGTATCAGTGTGTATGTACAGGTAGG